AATAAAACCTAACTATTACATTTGGGGGCCCTAACTACAATCTAAAAGAGAAAATAAAAATAAATAAATAAATAAAATAATTACCTAACTATTACAATTTTGGCATTTAAATGCCTTTCAAATAACCAAAACTAAATTAAATAAATATACTAAATTAAAACAAATAAAGTGACTAAATAAATAAATAAATAAAATAAAATATTCAAAAAAGCATGCCATTTCACACATAAGTTCACATAAGAGCACATAGAATCAATTAAAAATCAAAATAAAAGGGTAGAGTGTACCTCCCTTGAATTGACGACCTAAGGAGACAGAATTCTATATTTACCTTCCAAAACGAATAAAAAGTCAAGGCATCACTTTAATTAAGAATTAATTACATGAAATGAAAAATTAAACACGAAATGGAATCACCTAAGGTATTTACATAAAATAAGCCATCCATGTTCAAGAAATTGAACAAACAAGGGTCTAATTGAACAAATTAAAGGTGTTTAAGGGGTCAAATTATTATTACTAAAATTGGAAGTAAAAAATAAAGGTTTAAAACTAGTGGAGTTCTACTAATTATCTCTTAAAAAACAGTAAATAAACCTTCCTAAAAATGATTAAAACATAAAAAGCACAATTGAAATTCAAAAGAGTGAACTTGATTACTTTTTCCATATTTCTGGGCCATAAAAGCATTAAGTCAAAATCTGGGGTTAAAATTCGATTTTCTGAAATTAATTCATGCAGCCTACGTTCTTCTTCACAAGAGCTTCTGCAAAATCAGAAGCTTATGCGAATCCAGGAATATTCACTTAGCAACGTAAAACCCAAGAGTTTAAACTCTTTTTTCAACAAAATCCAATGATAAAACACTCCATAAGCAAGATCAAGGCAATAGTTATGAACGAAAACACATACAACAGCAAGAGACGCAAGAAATTACAAGCATCAGAAAAAGACTAGAAGCATCAGCAGCTCCATGCTCCACCATGCGACTGAATGTTAAAATGCAGCGGAGACAAAAAGAGAGAAACTCGCGGCAAATATGCACACCGCATACCAACCGAACACCAAAGAAATCACAAGCTTCAAACAAGCCAAAACTCAACAACCAAAGGAAAGAAATAGGATCTGTCCACGCTGCTGCAACAAGCCGGGAGCTTCGAGCTTGTTGCAGCAGATTTTTATGCTCAAATCTAAGTGCAATGCAAACTGAACCCAGGCGACAGGATTATCAAACATTCCTCCTACTTTTCAACATAAAAATGTTGGGTTTAGACACAAAAAGAAATCAGAATAAAAGAGCATGCAAAGCTGGAAGCTTTCTTCTTCCCGCAACTAAAGAAAGCTTCGGCAACCTCTGAAAACTTTGAGTTTTCAGAGACCTTACACAACAAGCACATACCAAGCCATAATCCGACACAAAAGACAGCAAAATGAAGGGAATCAGCCCCAAAAAATTCCTGGGTTTCTGTCCGCCTTCCTAACTAGGGAATACACAGGTCCTGGCCAGCTTTGGACTGGCCAGATTTCCGCTTGAATGCATACAGAAGACGCATGAGACTGACTCTTTTTGGCTCAAGATTGTCATTTTGGGGCAGTTTATCAAACAATAAGTGGACAGGAAAATCTCAACAATTCCCTACTCAGATGACGTTGCAACTAGCGTTAAAAATTTGTCAAAAACAACAAGGATTTGAATTCAATCAACCCATAAAGCATGTATACTCAACATTCTTAGACAACCAACGGGGAAATTGCCATAAGTAAAGTCACGGAGCTCATGCTTTGAGAGCTTCAAGATCTGAACTTGGAGAGAAACCAAGACTTAAAAAGAAAAGATAACTTACAGTGCTTTCTTTCTCTTTTGCAGGTGATGACAATGAAATGAAATGGCGATGACTCTACTCCTCGTTATAGGCAGCAACTTCAGTAGCTTCTTTGTCCCTTTAAGAATAGCACCCGACCAGATTTTCCTCCTCTTCTCCCTTGCTCTCTCTCTCACCCTCTCGGTCTTTCTTGCTTTTTCCTTTTTTTCTCAGCCCCCCGAAACCCTTTTCCTCTTCTTGAAGCTCTTTCTTTTCTGTTCTTTCCTCTGAAACCTCTCCCCAAAACCCGAGTCTTTTCTAGTCGTCACTCCTTTTTTTTTCTACTGATTCTCTTCCTTTTATAGCTACCCAGATTCCTAACCCTAACATCTAATGGTGCCCACTGAATTGATATTTTCATGATAATTTATAAGCCATTAGATGGGTTTTGTCCTATGATTCTCTTAGTGTGGGGATTAAAGCCAGGTGGCTTGAGATGAAATGATCCAATGGAGCTAAAATCCACCAAAAAAAACGTGGGAAAAGAGCTGGAAATTCACAGCTGCAATTCTGTACTGTAGCTTCATTCGGCTATCAGCTATCACGCTAAAGACTTCTTTTTTTATATAATTAATTAACAATAATAAAATGATTTTCTTAACAAAATGGAAATAAAACAAGATCAACAAAATCAACTAAAATGAAATAAAATGCTAAAATTTTTTGTGTTTGATTGATGATTTTTCCCTTTTTATTTTATTTTATTTATTATTTCTTTTCAAAAGTTGATTTTCATTACTCTCTCTCTCTCTTTTTTTCATCAAAATCAATTTAGGTAAACAAACGTTAATTCCTTACTGAAGTTATGTCGCAACAAATTTTCATTTATTTTAGATAGATTGAGTTTAAAAGGATTAAAACATATTTTTGTGAAATATTTTCTTTTCCGGAAATTTAATGCAAAATATCTTAGAAAATAAAAATGAAACTAATGAACCTAATTAATAAAAATAATTAAAAAACCTTAAATATCATTTAATCCATAAAAATGAAAATGAAATAAAACGAGAATAATAAAGCTAACAAATAAAGCAAAAATTGAATTAAATAAGAAATACAGCTAAAAATCCAATAAATGAAATTTTAGTGTCTACAACTTGCCCCTTTTTGTCTGAGTTTCGAAAAGACTCGAGACAAAGACGTAGATACCAAATACTTACTTGTAGTTATTCTGCCGTGAACTGGAACATGTAAGCATAGAAAGGTCAGTGGGATGGAACCCGAGCTTGCCGTACAACTTGGTCAGTGGGATGAAGACCCGAACCTGCCGTACAACTTGGTCAGTGGGATGAAACCCGAACCTGCCGTGCAACTTGGTCAGTGGGATGAAAACTCGAGCCTGCCGTATAACTTGGAAAGATTTGTTCATAATGCTTTTTTTTTTTTATAAAATTTCGAAAATAGAGACAGACGATTTCTTCTAAAAAATTTGCCCCAGTAATGACAGATAATGACAAATAATGCCGCCACTATCCGATCAACCCTCTTCTTCAAGAAATGTGTAAACATGAGTATTTGGACGTTCTTCCCTGATGTAGCAAGAACTCAACTTTGCCCTGCAAATGAGATCAAGTTTTCGCAATTTTCAATACTTATACGAACGCGTCATTTGGTATCCACATACTTTCGATAAATCATAGGGATTGCCATTTGATAAGTCTAAAGAAACAAATGAGATTATTAAACACAAGGGAAAACATTCTACTTACACAAAAAATAATGAAAATTCTAGTTATATGAAAACAATCATCTACTTTTATTGAAAGTGAATTTACTTTAAAGAAATGAACCTGTACATTCAAATTCAAAAAAAATTGTGTTTGATAAATCAAAATACTTTGGCTCCCGAACAGGTGGCCACGTTTGACCCTTTGGATATCATCCCTTCGGAGCTCAATGCTCGACAACAGAACCATAATGTAAAGAGAAATTCCAACGAACTTGAGTCACCAGCCTTTCAAAATCCAAAACTCACTTCTAAAACCCTACCTTAGTGCCCTTTCGAGTTTTCACCAAGGCTACCCCCACCCTTTTTATTATTATTTTTTTCTTTTCTTTTTTTATTTTTCCTTTTCTCTTTTCTTTTTTTCTTTTTTCTCTTCTTTTTTTCTTTTTCTTCTTCTTTTTTTCTTCTTTCTTTTCTTCTTTTATTTTACTTTTCTTCTTTTTTTTTCTAAGGTGTCATTTCGGGTTTTCACCTGATGGACGGATTCCGCCAATAGCCTTCATCAACTCAGAAATGTGTTTTAAAAATGATAGCATCAGTGCGACAACCCTTCCCTTACAAAATGGTGAAGGTGTATTGACATCATTTTCCCTTTGATTAGAAAATTTCTTAAAAGAGATTATACAAAGAACAGAAGTCAGGACTTTCGATTTTTCGTAATGGGGTCTGGTGAAGTGCTTAGAAAAGTTAAGGATTGAAGGCAGATTTCAAAAGTGGTTAAATGACCTGAGGTCGCATTTTCATATTAACCCTACTAAAATTAAACTAAAATTGCTCCAGTTTATTCTCAATCAAGGTTCTTTTCTTTAATTTTCCTTTCCTTTTGTTTTTTCTATCACTTTTACTTTTTGGAGCTTTTTTTTTCTTTTTCCTCTTTCTTTTCCTTTTCAACTCAAATTTGTCCCAGTATGGGATTTGCGATTCTCAGGGGTTGCCAAACAAAATAATTTATTCTGAAAGCTCAAAAGGGATAACTAGGGATAGAACGTTTAATTGGTAAGGAAAGAAGGCCTGACTTTCATTTCATTCTTTGCATTAACTCTGACAGGAAACTTTCATTTATCATATGAAGAATTTCTTACACATATCCGAATTGATTGGCTGAGGGAAAACTTGTCCATCCATTTTTGCGAGGATAAGCGATCCACCGGGCAAAAATTTCTGGACAATAAAAGGGCCCTGCCAATTTGGTGCAAATTTCCCCTTAGCCTCATCTTGTACTGGAAAAAATCGTTTTAATACTTTATCTCCTTCTGTGAATAATCGTGGTCTGACCTTCTTGTTGTAAGCACGGGCCATTCTCTTTTGATAACACTGACCATGACAAATGGCATTTAACCTCTTCTCGTCGATTAAAGACAATTGCTCATGACGTTATTTAATCCAATCAGCCTCATCCAGTTTGGCCTTCATTAGGATGCGCAAAGAAGAAATTTCGACCTCGGCTGGCAAAACCGCTTCCATTCCGTACATGAGGTTATAAGGCGTTGCCCCAATAGAAGTCCAATAGCAGTTCTATATGCCATTAATGCATAGGGAAGCTTCTCGTGCCAATCACGGTGTCTTTCGGTCATCTTACGGATTATCTTCTTCAAGTTCTTATTCGCGGCCTCCACAGCTCCGTTCATCTGTGGCCTATAGATAGTAAAATTCCGATGCTTGATCTTGAACTGATCGCACAACCCATCCACAATGTCATTGTTGAGATTCTTTGCATTGTCGGTGATTAATGTCTCTGGCACTCCAAAATGACAAATGATGTGTTTCCTCAGAAAATCGGTCATCACCTTCTTAGTCACATGCTTGTAAGACTCAGTTTCGAACCATTTTGTGAAGTATTCAATTGCCACCAGAATAAACCGATGCTCGTTTGAAGCAGGAGGGTCAATGGTTCCAATTACATCCTTACCCCACATTAAATATAGCCAAGGAGCAGTCATATTGTTTAATTCTATGGGAGGAGTGCGTATAACATCCCCATGCAATTGACATTTAATGCACTTTCTGACAAAAACTACACAATCATGCTCCATAGTAAGCCAAAGATATTCGGTCCTCATGATCTTCTTTGCCAATAAATGACCATTCATATGTGATCCACATATGCCACTGTGCACCTCTTTCATCAAGTACTCTGTTTCATCTTCATCAACACATCTCAGAAGGCCCATATCTAAAGTCCGTTTGTATACCACTTCTCCGTTTAAGAAAAACTTGGATGACAATCTACGCAAGAAGCTTTTAGCAGTCGTATCAACCCTTGGAGGATAGGACACCATTTTGAGAAATTCCTTGATATTGCTATACCAGGGACGGCCATCAGAAGATTTTTCCACAACTAGACAATGTGCAGGCTTTTCTTGTAATTGAATCTAGATAGGTTCAATCACCAACCTGTCTGGATGTTGAATCATTGAAGATAAAGTAGCCAGAGCATCAGCAAAAACATTTCTGGCATGTGGAATATGCCTGAACTCCGAACTTCTGAATTTGTTTGCTAAATCTAGTAAACTGCAATGATAAGGAAAGATTTTTGAATCCCGAGTGATCCATTCTTTGAGCATTTGATGCACGAGCAAATCGGAATCGCTGAACACTATTAAATCTTTAATCTCCATTTTCAATGCCATCTTTAGTCCAAAAATACAAGCCTCATACTCCGCCATATTGTTAGTGCAGAAAAATAGCAGTTTAGCGGAACCGGGATAATGCTTTCCTTCAGGCGATACCAGCATAGCTCCAATACCGGCTCCGAAAGAATTTGAAACCCCATCAAAGAATAGTCCCCACTCAGAGCATCGTTCGTTCATATCCTCTGCTACACCAACAAACAAGACCTCCTCATCCAAAAAATAAGTGTGAAGCGGTTGATAATCATCTTCCCTTGGATTTTCAGTCAAGTGATCTGCTATAGCCTGGCCCTTGATTGCCTTTTGTGTGGTGAAAACGATGTCGAATTCAAAAAGGATCATTTGCCATTTAACCATGCATCCGGTTGGCATTGGTTTCTCCAATAAATACTTCAAAGGGTTTGAACGAGAGATAAGGTAAGTGGTGTGACTATGCAAGTAATGCCCCAGTTTCTGCGTTGCTCAGGCCAATGCACAGCAATTTCTTTCAAGAAATGAGTATTTTGCTTCGTAAGTTGTGAACTTCTTGCTAAGGTAATAAATGGCTTGCTCCCTTTTCCCAGAGTCATCATGCTGCCCCAAAACACATCCCACCGCCTCGTCGAGCACAGATAGGTACATAATCAAAGGTCTACCCGGCTTGGGTGGCACTAAGACCGGGGGATGTAACAAGTAATTCTTGATCTTGTCAAAAGCTTGTTAGCATTCTTTACTCCAATACAATGGTACATTCTTCTTCAACAATTTGAAGAAGGGCTCACAAGTAGAAGTTAACTGGGCGATGAACCTGCCGATGAAGTTAATTTTTTTCAAGAAACTCTTCACATCCTTTTGTGTTTTTGGCACTGGCATTTCACGAATGGCTTTGATCTTCGTCGGATCTATCCTTATACCTTTCTTACTGACAATGAATCCCAATAACTTGCCGGCGGGAGCTCCGAAAGCGCACTTCGCAGGATTTAATTTCAAATTATATCTTCTCAATCTTTCAAATAACTTTTTCAAATCAATCAAGTGATCCTCTGCTCTCTTGGATTTGATGATGATGTCATCCACGTAAACCTCCATCTCCTTATGGATCATATCATGGAACAGGGTGGTCATGATCCTTTGATAAATAGCTCCAGTGTTTTTCAACCCAAATGGCATCACTCTGTAGCAAAACGTTCCTCACGGAGTGATAAAAGCAATTTTCTCTCTATCTTCTTCTGCCATTAAGATCTGGTGATACCCGGCAAAACAGTCAACATATGACTCGACCTCATGCCCTGCAGTATTGTCCAGAAGGATATGAATGTTTGGTAACAAAAAATCATCTTTCGGACTGGTTTTATTGAGATCCCTGTAATCGACACAGACTCGCACTTCTCCACTTTTCTTCGAAATAGGTACGGGATTTGAAAGCCAAATGGGATAATGAAACACCATGATGATTCTGGCATTGAGCTGCTTCTCGATCTGTTCCTTGATTTTAAGACTCATATCTGGCTTAAACTTGCGCGATTTTTGCTTCACTGGCGGAAAATTCGGATCAGTTGGTAGTCGATGGATCACTATGTCTGTTGAAATTCCTGGCATGTCATCATAGGACCAAGCAAACATATCTTGAAATATGATCAAAAACTCGATCATCTCTTTTCTCTGTTTTTTATTCAAATGAATGCTAATTTTTATCTCCTTAACCTCTATCTCAGCGCCAATATTAATGATTTATGTTTCTTCTAAGTTCAATTTGGATTTCTCTTCATATTGTTCGAGATTCTTTAACAAAGACTCAGATTCTTCCTCGTCCTGAATTTCTGATTCCAAAATTTTAAATTCGTGAGAGATATCGAGATTGCAATCATCAAATTTCGGAATAGTGATATCCAAAGGGTCAATGTGTTTTATTTTTGGCCATCTCAAAAAGAATGAGATAGATATAACAATACGTAAGTAAATCAATTTGGGAAATAAACACTGTGCATTTCATTGAATTTCAACTAAAGGAAAAAATGTCATAACATGCTGCTTAACAAAAGATACACTATTTAACATAAGACTTGCAGTGAAAAGACATTTGATTTAAAGCTATTTACAAAATTGAAAGACAGAAGATGAATAATGCGAATGCTTTCTCTCATTTTTCTCAACCAAAGGCAATCCCCTAGATTTACCGAAATTTCCTTCGGGAGGGAAGGAAATCACTGGTCCAGTTCTTCATCTCTTCTACGGAAACCTCTGGGAATTCTGGATCCTCTGACGGCTCAGCCTCACAAGCAACCTCCACAAATAACTCAGACAAACCAATATCCACCTCCTCGATCGGGTTCACTTCAGAGCTAATCACTTCTGATGGATAAGGAAAAGTGCAATACAACGGTGGGATGCTCCTGATAATTTATTTTCCTTCCTTCTCCGCCCTCTTGTGATTCAACATTTCTTTCTTATCCTTGGCAGTAGGTTGAAACCCTAATCCAAAGGTATCCTTCTTTCCTTGAAACTCTATTGGTTATAGAATTCCTTGCAGGTTATGCCCAAGGCCCTTGCCTATCTTGTATCCTCCTTGAATCATCTCCTTGGCCATCATAACGCTAGCTTCTGCTAGATTCATTCCCAGTCCTGACATTTCCTTAGACACCCATCCTACTGAGATGATATCAGCCACATGGTGAGGAGAAACCAGAGCTTTCCTATCACTTCCCTCTTTCAATGCGGGATTGATGATCATAGTGCAATCATCCTCTGCAAATACTGTGATCAACTGTCCATTTACCACAAACCTCAACATCTGATGGAGCGAAGATGGTATCGCGCCTGAAGTATGAATCCAAGGTCGTCCAAGTAGAATATTATAAACACTCGAGAAATCCATAACTTGGCATATGACTTGGAACTGTGCGGGTTCGATTTCTAACACTAAATCCACTTCACCCATTGATTCTTTTTTTGGGCCATCAAATCCTCTCACAACGGTTGCAGACGTGCGAAGTTTAGCTTCTTGAAATCCCAATTTAACTAAAGTATTCCATGGACAAATATGTAAAGCAGATCCGTTGTATATCAGAGCCTTTGGCAATAACTTCCCATTACAACGGACCGAGATATATAGTGCTCTGTTGTGTCCAATCCCTTCGGAGGTTAAATCTTCGTCAGAGAAAGAAATCTAATTGGAAGCCAGAACATGTTCAACCACGTGGGTGAATTTGTCAACCAGAATATTCTTAGGCACTTGAGGCTCAGTTAACACCTTGAGCAAAGCCTCTCTATACAATTTCGAGGTTAAGAACAGATTCAACATGAAAATTTGAGCGGGCATTTTGTCCAATTGCTCAATCACTTTGTATTCGCTCTTCTTCAACATCCTAAGAAAATTGAATGCCTCTTCTTCAGTCACAGTTGGTCTGGTTGGCACGGCATTTTCCTTTGCTTTTAAGAGTTCATCAACTGCAGGTTCACCTACGATTCTTCTAGATCTAGTGACAGTGACCACCTCCTTTTTGAGCACTTCTTCTCCTCTAATTAATAGTGTAGGCTCGCTATAATTCCATGGGACCTCTTGTAGATTAAGAACAGGAGCTTGTTCAGGCAATTCAAGTACCACAAGCTCTGAAGGCTCACATTCGAAAGGTATCACATCCAAAATAAAAGGATCAGTATTTTCCTTGACTTTGTAAGCTTCCTTCTCCAGTATAAATGGTTCTCCAGTGACCCCCATTATCTCGACTTCATCCAGAATGTATTGTGTAGGTTTCTCGATCTCCTCATCTATGGTAATAGCTCCAATGGTATCTTTGTGTGTAGGAAGAGTGTTCTTACTAATACTTGGCCCTTGTTCATCTCTCCTTCTCAGAACTATATCTCTAGCATTAATCATGTCTTGAATTTTGTGTTTAAGTGCCCAACAATTGGCAGTTGAATGTCCAGGAGCTCCTGAATGGTAAGCACAAAAGGATTGAGGATCGTAACCAAGGGGAAATCCTTTAGAATAGGTTTTAGGAGGTATTGCACCAATTTTTCCTGCGACTTTCAATTGTTCATATAATTGATCAACAGGCCGACCTAATTGGTGAAGGTTCGGTATGGGGTTGGATTTTGTGTGTCATTAGTTTGTTGATAATGATAATTCAGGTTGGCGGGTGCAATAGGTCTTGGGTTATAAGGAGGGCGAGGTCTAATCTGAAATTTAGGTGGGAAAATGTGAAATGGTATTGGGGATGTGTTTGGGTAATTCGGTCGAGGTCGAGGATGGTTAATGGTGGTATGGTAAACAGGTCGAAGACGTGATTGGTATGGGTAATGAGGTGAGTAGGTGGGGTATTGTTGGTATTTAGGTCAGAAAGAAGGGACTTGGTTCCAAACAAATGAAGTTTCCTCTTCTTTTTTCTTGAACTGGGTTTTCTTATTACTACTACCTTGATTTTGCATCGCTTCCAATTGCAATTTCAGAGCTGACACATTAACAATCTTCTTTGCTCTCACAAACTCATCATATTCTTCCAACTTATTAACAATTTCTGCGAAGGAACATCCAGTCATGCGGAAAATCTCCTCAAAATAAGGCTGGTCATGGGCTTTGATAAACGTACGAACAATTTCATCTTCAGTCATGGGAGGTTCCACCTTGGCAGTCAATTTTCTCCATCTCTTTGTATACATCTTGTGATCCTCAGATGGCTTCCTTTTGGTTCCTTCCAGTGTAGTCCTCGTCGAAGTGAGCTCGCAGTTATACTCGTATTGCCTTACAAATGCAGTTGACAAATCCACCCATGTTCTCATAGCTTCAGGCTTCAAATTGGAATACCAGTCCAGTGCATCGCCTTCTAAGCTCTCAGGAAACAACTGAACTGGTAGATTTTCATCATCTAAAGGCTTGCCTAATTTGTTAGCAAACATTCGGAGATACGTCTTGGGATTGTCAGTTCCGTCATATTTGCTAAATTTGGGTGCTTTAAAACCCACAGGAAGTTGCATGTCAGGAAATAGACATAACTCGTTATAATCCAATCCTCCTTGTTTGCTCAAGCCTTGACTCTTCCTCATGAACTCGTCAAATCGATCCAACCTTTTTAGCAAATTCTTGTCAATCGGCGCAGAGGATTCCCCAACTTCAACTTTCCCTTAGACAACGGTACCTAGTGTGAATGGTTCAGTGGTGGAGTAATAATATGGTCCTTAAGGTTCGAATGGCATATTCATAGTAACTGGCGGATAATTTTGGGGAATTTGAACTGGCGGATAATTTTGGGGAATTTGAGCGTGAGAAGGATTGGTTTGGATGTTAGGTGCATAGGTGGGTGGTGGGCCATGAGTGGGATAGATAAAAGTTTCTTCAGGTGGATTTATGACCTGTGAAGTAACAGGGGTTTGAGTATAAT